ATTTCATATTTCGCCTCGAGGGAAGTTCAGAATTCATTGTACTTGATGTTGAGGTCTTTGATGTTGAGGTCATACGTCGCCTCGAGTGAAGTTCAGAACTCATTGCACTTGAGTTCCACATACTTCGAGTTAGAACTATTGTGATTTGTCATTGCGTTGCCTCTATTCATGCCTGTGTGTGTTGTCGTGCATGCACGTGTGTTGAATAAGAGCTTCGCCTGATCTTCACTTTGTTCGGATAAGAGCCCGCGTTCGCTCTAAGTAGTGGTGGGTGTCTTGGCTCACTCTGTATGTTGCGCGTTTAATTTGTTATCTAGTCCACATTTCGACGTTGTGTTTCACGTGCATGGTCTTCCAGTGGTGCTGAGACGGTAATCGCTATATGTGGTTACTGCATGGTCTCGCATTGCTTTGAAGCGCACTCGCTATTTTAGTTCTTAGTTTCGTGTTTGTCTCAGTGGTGTTGAGACGGTAATCGCTGTATAAACCAGTGGTTACTGTATGGTCTCTCACTGCTTCTAGTTTTGCTTCCATATCTATGGCCTGCATTGCTTCACTCATTATATTGTTTGTTGTCTTCTCGTGTACTTGCAGTCTTGTGCATTTCTGTACAGCTTCGCTGTTTGATGCATCTCTGCTTTAATCTTTGCAGCTTCGCTGTTTAGGTTCTCTGTGTCCTGGCCTGCTCGCCAGGGAGGTCGAATCGGCCAACGCAGACTCGCAGACCAGGTTGGCGGTTCACCGCGGGCGCCAGTTGGCTGACCTGGCACGGACGGACAGACAATGTGCTAACTTTGGGTCGGTTTTGCTAAAAATTGATATTCAACTATCCATTTTAAAGAAAGCAGGTTTTTACGCGAGCATTGGCAAAGAAACTTCGTTCTGAGAGCATCTGAGCTCGCTCGAGGAAGTTTCGCTACCGGTTCACCCCCAGGAACCGACCGCATATTGACATCCAAAAATACAAAAATATGATTCTGAGAGAATCTTTTACAAAGCTCGCTGTTTCGATTCTAAGCATCCTTGGGCGTGCAAGGAGCTCTACGAAGCACCTCGTAGAGCTCTTCGACATCGATGAGCTAGAGGAATTCGGGCGCGGGGTGGAGCTAGTTGGCCGACCCGGCCCGGACTTTGAGCTTGCGCTTCAGGAAGTTCCCTCCATGTTTCTGAGGAAAGAGCTTTACGAGGCTTCTGGCGAAAACCTGTTCCAGCCTTTCCCCGCGCGCTAACCTGCGTGCGTGTGTTGTGTGCCTCGTAGAGCTTTTCGGCACCGATGAGCTAGAGGAATTCTGGCGCCAGGTGGAGCTAGTTGGTCGACCCGACCAGAAAGGACAATGTGACATCTTTGGGTCGGTTTTGCTAAGATTTGCAAGAATTCATTTCGAGAAAGCAGATTTTTACGGCCAAGCATTGGCATGTAAATTTTGTTCCCAGAGCTTCTCAGCCCTGTAGAGCCAGTTTCAGTATTAGTTCACATCCGGGAACCGACTTCATGGTGACACCGAAAAATGTCAATTTGACGTTTTTCTAGAAATGCTCCGAGAAGCTCCCCGCTTTGATCCTGAGCGTTGTTACTCATGTAAGAAGCTCTACGAGATTCCCGGCGGTGACCAGGTTGACCGTTCACCGCCGGCGCCAGTGTGCGTGGATGCCTCTTCTCTCCGGATTTTGGACGGAACCAAGTAGTACCTTGTAGAGATCGTTGAGCTAAGAGGAATTCGAGCGCAGGGTGGAGCTAGTTGGCAGACCCGACCTTAAGAGACAATGTGATGACTTGGGGTCGGTTTTGCTAAGATTTGAGTCAGAGGTTTCTGCATCGGGTCGTTCCAAGCAGGTTTTGAAAATGAGTCATGTTGTATCAGTGTCGGGAGTAAGCCATTATAACGTGTTTCTTATGGTTTCCGATGGACATTCCAGAGTTTGTTGGAATTCAACCATTGGTTATTGTTCTAGTATTATTTTCCTTATACCGGATTTCTGCTCGCGGTTTCATTTGTAGTTCGATCTGGTATCTATCATTGCCTGAAAGCATTCAGGCGGGATCGGTTGTTTTGTGATTTGACAGGTAATTTCGGTTTTCTTCAGTTAATTCGAGTTGTAGGACCGCTAGAGAGCTGGTAATTGGACCTAATCGACACAGAATCATGAGCGCATTCGTACCGCATCTAGAGTTTTACGTCGGTTTGGATCCGAGCTATGTCCCCACAACTATGTATATTTGAGATGATCATGAGCTTCTTCATTTAGCTCGAGCTACAAATGAGCTAGAGAGCTCGTTGCCACAGGAACCGGAACGGAATCATTTGGCGCGATAGTCGAAATTATGTTGACGCCTGAATCCGGTTCGTCAAAGATATTTGACAATTCACTTTGAGAAACCAGATGTTTCTCACGTGTTGTGAACCCTTATTTTTCGCACTTGTAGTGGATTATGCCGCGTCTGCCAATTCTCAGATCTGTAGCTGCAATATTACTATCAAAACATTTGCTGGAACTGACTTCGGAAAAAACTGAAAGTCGTAATTTTCCGAGTTTCTCACATCACCTTCAGAAAGCTTCTTTCATTAAGATCAATATGATGAGGGAAAATACTAGAGCTCAAACGAATTGTTGAATTTCGATCGAGAACATAATTTTCAACCGAGCAAAAGTCACCAAAAGGTCCGTCGATATTCTTCTTGCCAACTAGCTCTCCAGCGCGCTGGAATTACTCTGAAGCTTCCAGCAACTAGCTAAGAACGGACCCCGATCGCACGGGGTCGATCTGCCGATGGAAGGATTGGGGGCGCCAGACCGCGCGATCGATGTCCACGTGACGCCGAACGCAAACACGGATGCCGACCGCGCGAATTCGATCTGCCGATAGAACGATCGGGGGCGCCAGACCGCGCGACCTATTTCCAGATAAACCCCGGTGCAACATCGCATGGGCGAAGAAGCGCGAAACCGAAGAAATCGACTTCGCAGGCGATCTCGGAACGGTCGCGCTCAGGCGCGCACCCCAACAACTTGCGCTGGCGAGATCCCGCCTCGCACTGCTCCTGCATGCGGTTCTCGCTGCACCAAGTGCAGTGCCCGGAGAACGTCCCGAGCGCCCGCTGCCCCGGCTGTCTCTGGTGGAACTGGCACGTCACGCGAACGCCGTGCTCAATGTAGTTGGCGATCCCATCATGCTTGATTGACAACCACGGAAAGGTCAGTTTCCAGGACACGGAGCCAGAAGAAGTAAAATGGGACACGATGATCAGAAAGGGGGGAACGGAAGGGCCATTCCTGTGGAATTGTGAGACAGTCGCTATGTGGGACGAGGTAGTAAAGAGCTGGCAGGAACGAGGACTGGGCTTTGCACTTGAACCGACGTGTACTATGGAAAGGAAGTTGACCCACTCAGTATGGGCGGGCAATATCTTAGTGTACGCGAGAAGCAAACAGGAGCTTGCACAGATGATGATAGAAATGAGTGGCCCATTGTATGCACGCGGTTTCACGTGGAAGAAAGAGAGTCTGGCTTATGTACATTTCGGAGGTGACTTTAACGAGCAAGAAGAGCTCAATTTCAGAGTCAGTGTATTGAGTGCAGATGTTGCTAGAAAGACGTGCAATCTTCTGGAACTCAACATGCTAAGGAAAATATCGGACAACATCCTAGGGGTGCACTTTGACACGGAAATGCGTCGGCATGAAGATCTGAGAGCAATACTGGACAAGGCGAAAGCAGCTTTCTTCCGTGATGCGAAGTACTATCAATCCAGGTCACTTTCTTTCAAACGGAAGTTCTTGAAATACCGTTCTCGTTTGATTAGTGTTGCTTGTATGGTGCAGAAGGCAGTGCCACTCATTTGGAGGATTCTGCCTTGCACGGATGGTTACCGTCCAGAGGAAAGACTGCTCGTGGCCAGAGTTCGACATGAGGAGGAGGAGGCAGGGGAGGAAATCTTATCATGCCGCAGGTTTCCCTTCACTGGTGCAATTGTTTGTGCAGAAGCAATGGGGGTGGGCAAAAGACAGCGCACTCAATCTTCATTCAATATGGCAAGGAGGAGGTGGAGGAGGACCAACAGCAAGAACATAAAGATAATAGGAGGAGGATGACGAGCCAAATGCAGCAAGCAGCCAAGCGCAGGAGGACAGATCTCACAGACACGAGCCAGAGACAGAACCTCTTAGAATCCAGCGCCGCAGACAGCTCTCCTGGGCCATCCTTTTGTCAGGAGCGGAAGCGCAGGCGTCTCGTATATGAGAAGGCCCTGTCAACCAAGAGTCCATGGCTACAGGCACGTTGTCAGATGTTGCATGGGGCGGGGGACTGGGTGCGGCGCAGGGGGGAATTTGTCAAAACGACCCCGGCTAGCGCGAGGCAGCAAATGAGGAGGAGGCTGGAGGGTGGAGGAAAAGAGAGGACAGGCTTGAGATCATGGCATGGGATCTTTGAAAAGCTCGCTGGACAGCCGTGCTGGTGGGGGAAATGGCACTTCTCGGAGGAGGCGTTCCGTGAATTCCTTCAGAAGGCGCTTGCAGGATGTAATGAGAGCCCACTGTGGGACCTAGGCAATTTTAAGGGTGGAGGAGGTGACTTCGAGAGAGCAGGTAGAGGGGGTGTGGGGGAGGAAGCGAGGAGGAGGAATAACAGGATGAAAACAGATGAGGAGGAGGAGGAGGAGAAGTAAAGGCAGAAGAAAGCCAGGAGACTCGCATATAACTTCAAACAGGACACTGTGTGGAACCAGAAGCTCCCAGGAAAGATAGGTACCATCATGTGTCAATTCTCGGGGGGCTCTCTCACGGTAGTCAATTTGCTGAGGGGGAAATGGAATACTCAGAATGAGAAATAACAGAAAATATTATGCAAAACACATGTTGGCATGGAGACATGGTGCAATCAATATCCCATAAGACTACCATATTGGGGAGATGACCTCTGGCGTCATATCTACCGCGAAGGAAATGAGGAGGCGGATGAACTTACGTGGAGGGCTCGCGAGAGCCCAACCAATTCCTATATGTACAAGAATACCACAAATTTTAAGAATGGAGAAACTTTGGCTGCTCTCAGGGGTTACTTTGACGGTGGGAGAAGCGTCTCAGGAAGTGCCGTGGGCTACTGGCTGCAAGGCCTAATTGTTGATCCTACCACGCAGGCCTCGGAATGGCGGACCCTACAAGAGACGGGCCTGCTGCTGGAGCAAGATGCGACGGCAATGGAGTCCGTCCGAGTTTATAGCGGCATTGCGGTTGTTCCAGACCGCCCGAGAGTTCACTGCGAAAATGTTCGAGGCAGGAGACGGGATTTTAACTTCGAGTTCATGACTATTGAGGTTCATGGCTTTTATGGAGGCGCGCCATCTGCCGTTATATATTCACAGCTACGCTGAGTTATTTCATTTCTATCTGTACACAAGTGCACATTTCATTGATCGGAGTTGTTACTTCACTCAGCTTGTGTGTGTGTGTGTGTGTGTGCTTTTCAATTTTAGCTTCGCTTGCACGTCCCCGTCCTGGAAGCATGTTGGTGGTATTCTTGGCTGTGTGGTGGTCGGGGTCTCGTTTGGAGGCTTCGGTGCAATGCCTCGTTTGGAGGCTCGAGCCTGTGTCTCGGGACGGGCCTCGTTTGGAGGCGCGAGACGCTGCGCTGCGGGTGAGACATTCGCACAGTGAGCGCTACGCAAACGCAAAAAACCAAGGTTGGCGGTTTACCGCCGGCTCCCAGTCATAATCGCGCGTCTGATGATTTTCTTTTGATTGATGTGCTGAACAGCTCTGGAGGTGTAGTCAAGAAAATCATCACCAACTCTACAAATTAACGGACTACGATTTGTTTTTTTGGACCCAGCTCTAATAGAAGACCGAGTTCAGGCGTCTAGATATTTTGAGCTAGCCCGTCTGAGGATTTGCTGCCGATTGCCGTGCCGAACATCTCTGTAGCTCATCTGCTGCTCGAGTTAAGTCAAGGAAACCATCATCATCTTAGAAAAATAGCAGAGTACGAATAGTTTTTCGGACCCAGCTCTGATAGCAGACCGAGTTCAGGTGTCTAGGTACTTTAAACTAGCGCGCCTAATGATTTCCTTTCGAGTGCTGTGCCGAACAGCTCTGTAGCTGATCTGCAGCTCGAGTTAGATCAAGACACTCATCATCATTTCAAAAAATTAGAGAACGAATAGTTTCGCGGACCTAGCTCTGGTACCAGACCGAGTTCAGACATCTAGCTGCTTGAGACTTACGCGACTGACGAGTATAGATCGATTAGGTGTGCCTTCCAGCTCTGTAGCTCTCCTGCAGCTCGAGTTAACTTGAGAAAACCGACAGCGCCTGCCCTGTTCACAGTCAACAGCCGATCCCGCCTGAGTGCTCCTTGGCAGTAATAGGTATCTGATCGTTTTTTTTTGTTTTAAGATGGCGAGCGGGAATGAGATCGAATATGGGGGAAAGTACTAGAGCTCTGACGACCTGTTGAATTTTGAGAAATTCAATTGAAAAAATCAAAACAAGACAAAACGTCGTCGATATTTCTTTTGCCAACTAGCCCCCCAGCGCGCCGGAATTACTTTTCTAGCTTCGCCGCTAGCGCTCCTAGGGAAGCTCTACGAGTCATTAGCAGCGCACGAATAGTTTTACGGACCTAGCTCTGGTAACAGGCCGAGTTGAAGCATCTAGATGCTCGAGACTAACGCGCCTGATCACTGTAGATGCATTAGCTGTGCCTGCCAGCTCTGTAGCTCATCTGCAGCTCGAGTCAAGTTGAGAAAACCAACAGCACCTGTCAAGATGACACTAAACAGCCGATCCCGCTTGAGCGCTTTTTTGCAGTAGTATGCCCCCGATCGACCTCAGATTAAGATGGCGGGCGGGAATAAGATCGAAAATGGTGGTGAAAGAATACTAGAGCTCTAACGATCTTTCAAATTTCGAGAAATCGGGATTACACAGGTAAAAAAATGACAGAACTTTGAGTTTTTTTTGCGAACTGGCCCCCCAGCGCGCCAGAATTACTTTCTAGCTTCGCCGCTATCGCTCTTAGGAAAGCTCTACGAGTCATTTCACTGGCAGACGCGGCATAACCCACTACAGGTGCGAGTGATGCTTGAACTGTATGGCTGCCTTCCTCCTTTCGTTCAGTTCGCGAAGCCGTTATCTTCTCGAAAACTGCATCCCGACGGCCGGTGGTTCCTGCTAATGACCCGTAGATTCCCTCAGAGCGTTAGCGGCGAAGCTAGAAGCGTGACTCGTAGCGGCGAAGCTGGAAGAGCAATTCCGGCGCGCTGGGGGGCATGTTGGCAAAAAACATATCGACAGAAGTTTTGCCTCTCTCTCTCTCTCTCTCTCTCTCTCTTTCTTTCTTTATATATTTATTAGTATTATGATTTCATTGTATATATTAACTCATAATACAATATAATATGATATGAACAAGCACTTATTCAAATTCCCGCCCGCCATCTGGATCTCAGGTCGATTGGGCACTTATCACTGCCAAAAAGCATGTGGCCGGGATCGGCTGTTCAGCGTCATCTTGAAAGGTGCTGTCGGTTTTCTGAACTTAACTCGAGCTCTAGACGAGGTGCAGAGCTGGCAGGCACACTTAATTAATCTAGAATCATCAGGTGCGTTAGTCTCAAGTATCGAGATGTCCGAAATCGGCCTGCTACCAGAACTGGGTCCGAACAACTATTCGTAATCTGCTAATTTTCTTGGAGATGATGATGCGTTTTGTGTTTGAGGTCGAGCTGCCGAGGAACTACAGAGCTTTTCGGCGCGCCAATCGGAAGAGAATCATCCGACGCGCTAGTCCCGAGTATCCAGATGCCCAAACTCGTTCTGCTACCAGAGCTGGGCCCCCAAAAAAATATTAGTGCTCTGCATTTTTCAAAAGATGGTGATGGTTTTCTTGACTGAACTCGAGCTGCAGATGAGCTACAGAGTTGTTTGTCACAGCAATCGGAAGGAAATGATTAGAAGCACTAGTCTAAAGTATTCAGGTGCCCGATTTTTTGAGAGATGATGATGGTTTCTTGAGATTTCTCGAGCTGCAGATAAGCTACAGAGTTTCTTGGCACAGCAATCGGAAGGCAATGATCAGACGCGCTCTTCTGAAGTGTCTAGATGCCCGAACTCGGTCTGCTTCCAGAGTTGGAACCAGAAAACTTTTCGTACTCTATTATTTTTCCAGAGATGGCGATGTCTTTCTTGATCCTCCCCCTCCTCCTCCTCCTCCTTCTGCTTCTCCTCTTCCTTCCTCCTTCTTTATCGCCCCCTCCATCTCCTCCTTCCTCACTCCTTCTTCTCCTCCAGTCCTCCTTTCTTTCTGCTCCGCTGTGAGGTCGTGCGTTTGCACCAGCTCCTCCAGTTTGCTGAGTAGGCGTTGAGCTGGGTCGCCGCTTGGGCGGGAATCCCGGCGGTGCGCATGTGCCGCGCCATGTCTACTGCAGTGAGGGGTCGTAGTAGTCCAAAGACGTCTGAACGTTTAGGCCGGCTTTGTGAAGGTCCATGAGTCTGGCCATGGCAGTCGTCCTCCTGGTTTGTTGGCGCTGTAGTCGCTGCGAGGCGGGTGAGGCTTCCCTCCTCGGCGTGCTGGTCGGCGGTTACCGGCGTCGGTGACAGGCCGGAGTAGTCGTCGGCGTGTTGTCGTAAGATCCTGGGCTGCTCTACTCACGGCGCGGGTAGGCCTGCTGGTATCGCGGCAGGATTCCTCGCCCACACCTCACATCTGTCGACGCGTGTTTGGAGGCCGGCTTGGCTCAGTGCGCTGGTGTAGGCTGCGTATATGATGGGCGTGTCTCCAGGCTTCGCAAGGATGGTGAGGTCGTCGATGTAGCCGAAAAGCTCGTGCGGTATACCTGCTGCGTCGAGTTGGTGTTTGGCCCTCTCGAGGGCTCGGTCGAGTCCGAAGCAGAAGAGCGTGGTGGCCATGCCGCGCCCCTGGAAGATACCCGTCGTTTGGCTCCAGATGTGTCTTGCGCCCCCGGTGTCGTGGTAGACTACCTGCCCGGCGTCCGGCAGGAAGCCTCTTGCCCATCGGCGGAGTTTTGGGCAGTGAGCATCGATGCCTTCGTTGATGTACACCCTGCTCAGGTTCTGGAAGCCGTCTGCAGCGTCCAGAGAGAGCACGGCGTGGTCTGGGCGGACGTGGAGGGCAGTGGACGCGTGCTCGTGTACCAGTTCCGCCCCAGCCGCGTGCTTGTGCCCGAACTGCTTGCCGCGAAGCCCTTCGGCGACCTCGTCCGCCGCCATTTTGTTGACCGCCTTGGGCGCGAGACGGCGGAGCGGGCTGGCGAGGTTGATGGGGCGGAGTCGGGTGGGGCTCTTGGTGAGCGGGAGGAGGCGGGCGGCCGTCGCCAGTTCCTGCACTCCCTGCGGGGGCTGCCGCGGGCTTGTGCTGCGGCCGCTGCGTGCCAGGGCACGCAGAGCGGACAGGTCAGTTTGGACGAGTTGGAAGTGCTCGTACCGCCGCCCGTCGGGCCCAGCTGCGTTTTTTTTTGGGGCGGCCCGCAAGGCTTTGGCGAAGTGTAGCTCGAACTGTTGCTGTTCGTCGTCCTGCTCGTCGTAGGCGGCTGGTGGCTGTGGCTGATGGCGTGGGAAGAGCTGCTGTGCGGCTTGAAGGGCCAACTCGTCTCCGGCAATTTCGAGTGATTCGCGGAAGACTCTCGTAGCTTTGCCCACGGCGCCTGCCTCCGCGAGTTTGCGTGCCGTCATAACGTCGTGCTCTGCGGTAGTCTTCCGCCTGGCGCGCACAGGAGGTGGGGCGGAGTCAAGGACGGCGGCCCAAAGCTGTGCTTCGCGGTGCTCCCTGATTTCCGAGGCCCGGCGGAACAGCGTAGTGGTGAGCTGAGCGTCGCCTCTCTGACCGCCTCGGAGGTTGGCGTGCCCGAGCAGCTGCTTAGGGAGCATGAACCAACGCTTGGCCGGCTGGGTGATGGACTCCGGGGTGCTGTGGTGGATCTTGTGGGCGAAAGCCTTCGTGTGCTCCGTTATGATGGCGCCCGCCACCCCGCGAGCGTGCGGCGGTGTATGGGCGGCCGTGGGTACTGGTTGTTGGACCATTTCTGGCGTGATGGCGTCCGCCCAATCGGCGTTGGTGTCGCTGCTGGCGTGCCTGGCCGTGCCTGGCCGTGCCCTCCTCTCCCTCCTCACTCCTTCTTCTCCTTCGCGCCCTCCTCGTGAAACCGCGCCCTCGCGCGCGTGGAATGCGAGATTGCCGCGCCCGCGTCCCGTTCATGTATATCGCAAGGAAGCTTGGCGAGTGTCTGGCGGTAACCAAGGTTGACGGTTTACCGCTGGCTCCCAGTTGCTCTGGGAGACGGCCGTCCTCTGCCGCGCTGCTCCAGGGCGCCGAGCGGATCTCCCGCGCGAGCCCGCGATTGCACCGCCGCGCCAG